TACTTTTTGGCAGGTTCATGGAGCATGGTTGCCACCTTGGTTAGCAGCACATGCAGCTCACTATATGGTATAAGTGGAGTAGTTAACCTAAGCATCATAGTTTTTAAGGCGGTAAGGCGACCTAAGGCGCTGGGGGGCGCCTTATCGCCTAGGCGATGCCTAAGCGCCTAAGGCGGACGCCTAAGCGCCTAAGCGGGCATATTTGTAAGGCGCTGGGGGTGCGCCTTATCGCCTAAGCGTCGCCTAAGCGTCCAAGGCGGGACGCCTTAAAAACAATGCTAAGCATTGTGCCTCTTCTTACTTTGCTTTTGCGCAACACACTCATCATGTTATCATGTAGGAGTTGATGTCAAGTCACTGGAGTGAACATGGAAAACCTGCTGTCAACAATTTATTGCAAAAGGTGCCTCCTAGCTTATTTATGCCTTTATTTTGATTATGAAATATGCCAAGCTGAACACATTATGTATTTGTTTATAACCTGTGAATTAAATCACTGCAGGCGTCAGAGAAAACAGTGCAGGCGAAGGAATGGGCTGAACCCCATATAGAAACTGTTAAGGCGGTAATATTCTTGTTCCTGGGATTGTGGGTCAGAAAATCTGTATAAGCAGAGTTTATTTGAAATGTTAAAACACGTCATTTATGCATGTGTTTATGGCCAATTCTTATTGTATATGGATGTCATGTGAGGCAAGTATCACATGATGTTTCTGAGTTTTTGCATCTGTATTCACTTTCACTAACGATGCTTTTTTTATCCTTGAAGAAATGGATTCCTGTCATTAAAGAAAATTGGGCTACGGCAAAGAAAAAGGCGGAACCTTATGTGCAAATGGTCTCAGCAAAATCAGTAGAGCTTTATCAAGCATCAAAGGATGCTATCTCACCTCATGTTGTGAAAGCACATGAGCTTGCTGATCCCTATTTCCAGGTACACTAGATCCTCTTTGTTTAGCAATTACACTTAGGCCATAGTGTTGTCATTGTAGTGAATTGATGTGGCTTGATTATATTTTTTCAGGAAGCCAAGAAGTTATCCAAACCTTATATTGATCAAGTTGCTAAGGCCAGTAAACCACATGTTGACAAACTTAAAACCACTCTGAAGCCTTACACTGAAAAGGCAGGCCAGGAATATGAAAAGCTTCGCGAGACAGCTACTTTATACCATCAGCAGGTCTTTCTTCTCTTAAATTTTCTTGTTATCTCAAGTATTCCAGCTTCTCAGTTCCAGTTAAATATTAATGCTTTGTTGTTTTAGACATTTTATGCTTCTGTTATTGTTAATTTTATTGTTTTGAGTTATTGAACACTTGGCTGAATTTGTAGGGCTGTTTTTAGGTGATCTTATTTCATATATTCTTATATAATCCTTGAGCACTGTATCTGCATTTTTCTCTGCTAAATATTGCACTGTATCATCGGTAAATTTTGCAGCCCCCTAATAGAATTATTTCGTCAATCAATCTAATGAGATTTTTCAGACCTATATATATAACTTCACAGTTAGTTATAGTTTAATAATTTCACTTTGGCCTTCTGTATGATTATTTGGTAAATACTGCTCCCTCTGTTTTTGACACTATGGCAGTGTCAAAAATGTCAAAAAACGTCTTATATTTTGATACAGAGGGAGTACTGGCCTACCAGAATTTCTTGGAGATACGCCCTCCCTCTTGGTCCTCCCCCAAGGGCGTGCACCCCAACCTTGCACAGTTCTTGGATGCCATCAAAACTGAAGCTAGGGCCTGGGTTTTGGCTTAAGCAGCTGTGGGCTGCCACTTGCCCTGCTGTAGGTTGCGTGTGACTGGTGCGGGAGGCTTGTAATTAAACTCCTTTTCTATCAATTCTGGGATTTTTTTACATTTTTTCAAAAAATAAATATAAACTTTGTGCACCTTTGGTAATTGGTTGGTTCAAATACTGTCTTGATCCAGAAACTTATTATGTACTCCGTCCATATCAAACAACAACAACAACAACAACAAAGCCTTTAGTCCCAAACAAGTTGGGGTAGGCTAGAGGTGAAACCCATAAGATCTCGCAACCAACTCATGGCTCTGGCACATGGATAGCAAGCTTCCACGCACCCCTGTCCATAGCTAGCTCTTTGTCGATACTCCAATCCTTCAGGTCTCTCTTAACGGACTCCTCCCATGTCAAAATCGGTCGACCCCGCCCTCTCTTGACAAATATAAGACATTTTTTGACACTGTACTTTTTGTATGCTACTACTACTGCTGAATTGCTCTAATCTGTGTTGAACTGTGTATACGCTAGTGGGTGAAGTAGGCTGGATGAAACAGCATTATGGTTAACTAACCTTCGTACTTACCTTGAACAATACTACATCTCTCTGTGCTGTAAGCAACTGCGGTAAAATGGCCTGAAGATCCAAGTCATGGATCCAATAATCTAAGCAAATTTCCTTTTCAGGCTCAGGTAACTATCTTGGATTACATGCACCAACATGAGTTATTAAAACAATTTGCGAATGGAGAGTTGGTGTGGTTTCTGGTAAGCACAAGCTGAACTGTCAATTTATAACATGTGTTTCTACTGATTAAAATAAAATGGTCTAAAATATCTTATCTCTCTTGGTAGGCTGCTGCTTGGCTCCTTATGCCCGTATATGTTTTGTACATACTCCTAACAGAAGTCTTCTGGTCAGTAGTGTATTTAAAACGCTTCAGCTAATAGTTGCTTGGCATGGCTTTAGGTGAATTGTGACTGTACTTGTTCGATCAGAAACCTTCCATTTTTCATGCAGCATCACCAAGAAGAAGAAAATCCCACGGAGTGATAAGGGCAAAGTTTTGGTCAATGGCCATAGGAGACACAAGCGCCGACATGCGGACAAGTAGACCGTATACTGTTTGCCTATGTTCTGCAGCACTGTAGTTGAAGGTACCACATTCTTCCTTTGTTAGCAGTAACATCTGATCCAAATCCCACGCTATGTAGGCGTTCTTTGTTCTCATCAAAAGGTTTGGGTCAATGGAACAGTCCTCTTATTTTCACAAGAACATTGAAGTATATAAGTTTTTAATTGATATTTGATACAACAGAACATGTTTTTCTTGGGCCTTGATTAATACTTTGAATATTGAATTGTTTGATACAACTTTGAAGCAAGTACTAAATCATTCACATGTCAGTTTTGTACCCGGCCTTTGAACTCTGTTTGCACTCTGCAGATCAAGTACGATGAGGCATTATTCATTCACTGACGAGTCTGCTGGATACAAATGAGGAGACGCCTGGTCCTGGTTAAATCATGTGTAATATATACCCCGAGTTATACTGCACGCAAACCGTGTCTCCATTTTGGCCCCAATGTATTGTAGCGGCCGTTTTTGTACGATCACGTTGCTGAGTAGGGATTACGAGGTTAAATCTGCAGGTATTCGTTTTAGTGGACACTTATTATGTTGCAGCTATTAGCGTGTTTTGAGTGTACTTCGGGTAATCCGTGCTCACAACTTCCTAACGTACGTACCATTTCTTGTCACTGAAAGTTCTGGGATTAAAACTATTCAACGTCGCTGTACGCTGGAGTAGTGTACTAGGTTGTTGCATTTTTTTTTCAAAAAGGAGGATTACCCCTTGCCTTTGCAATGCACACATCTTTATTGCATTATTCAATATGACCTTGTAAAATAAATACATAGATGGTGAAAACTGTTGCCCTACCTACAAGATTGATGATGTGCTCTGACCTCAGGCCATGCACATTAAAAAATCTGGTGGCCTCACCAAGCCACCCGACGGCTAGCCAGAAGCATCATCCGGCCTAGCAGATCTTCAGCATGCACACGCTGTAGAATCCATCGTCGCATTTTTTTTTGCAATCCCATCTTTAGGAGCAACTAATGCACTAATCTTGCCAGACCCTTCTGTAGTCGACGATGTCGGACAACGCCAACCTCTTGCGTGCATCGAGACTCCACTCCACGTTGCTGTCGAGACTCGTCGTCGTTAATATGTAGATGGCATGCCGCTCCACCTTGGTCACCGCACGAGAAGTATACGGAAACCTGCGTCCAGCCACCAAGCCAAACACTTGTCCCTCTAGCTAATGTACAACCGCAAAGGTGATGCCCCATGGGGTGACGACACATGAATCTCGCCATCATTCGGTCTGGAAAAGTTGAATCTGGGGTTTCCCTCGGAGCACATAATGAACGAGAATTGCCCCACAACGCCTCCAACGAGGTAACGACGCCTGCGGGTGCCGCCGGTGACGGTTCTATCCGAGGCTGAGCCAAGCTTCCGTTGGCAAACTCACGCTCATCCCTGTCTGGACCACCAGATCAATCTCCTCCGTCATCCAGCATGCCCATATGCGACGTCTACCGTAGGGAAACCGCATGATCGGAGCCACACCCCCGCCTGGGTGAGTCATCGATGGCGGAGGGGCCCTCAACGTTGCACCATCTCCACCGCATCCCGGAGCCGCGGCAGAGGAAGGCCCCACCGCCGCCATCATCCCCCAGGGCTCCGGCGGCAACAAGGAGAGGGGCAGCGGTGGCTCGAAGCTCTAGATCAGATCGGGAGGGAGGGGACCAAGAAGAGAGGCTACTTCGGCTCGAGGAGAGGGGTCGAGTCGGGAGGGGATCGGGAGGGCTCTGTCACAAGGTTGTCTCCATTGAGGCCTGAATTCGTGGTGAACTCCGAAATAACAAATCGATTCCAGAAATCCGCAGCATGCACGTGTAACTTTGGCACAGAGGCGCATAACAAGTACAAGTAGTAATACTATTTATAAACTCACTGGTAATCCTGAATGTATACAAGCGCGCGGTTAGGTAAGGCAGTCTGTGTACAAGGCGGACGACCAAAGCTAACCTGAAATGCTCAAAGAATAACTGACAGAGAAGACGATGATACAACGAAGAGACTAGATTAAACACCACTCAAACCGCCCTGCTCCTACGTAATAGTCAACAATCGCCTGACACCCCAGGCGTCTCACGTACACAACCTACGTACACTCATCAGTAGCTACCAGGCCAGTACCTCTCCACCATCTGATCTACGTCCAGGTTCTGGTACCTCATGCCGGCACCCCCTGCCGCATGCCCCTCTCCGCCGAACCCGCCGACGTCCCCTCCGGCGGCCGGGATGCCGCCGAGCCCCGCGGCCATGTGCTGCTCCATCGTCATCGCCTGGCCGCTGGCGCCGCCCGCCTGCTGCTGCTGCTGCTGGCCCATCGGCATCGACATGGCGTGGTGGAGGACGTGATGGGGTGACGGCATCGCCGGCGACGGGCCCCCGAGGTTGAGGTTGAGGCTGGAGAGCGTGAAGGGGCCCGGCGGGTTGAGGTACCCGGCGGCGGCGGGGTGCGGCTGGATGTGCGGGTGCAGCCCCGGCGTGCCCCTGGCGAAGCGCGAGAGCTCCGCCAGGTCGGCGGGGGTCATGTACGGGTGGTGGTGCCCGCGGCCGCCGCCGAACAGGTCGTGCCCCAGCAGCGTCGGGAGGAACTGCGGCACCATGTCCAGCGTGTACGGGTGGTGGTGCGACCGGGAGTGCGCGTTGGTGCTCGACGGGTACTTCTTCACGCCCGGGCTCTTGGCGAAGATGCGGCACACCACCCATTCATCCTAGAAACCAAACATTGAGTTCCATTCAAAATGAAAAATTATGAAAATTCTGCAAGAAAACTTCAAGAGAAAATTCTGCAAGAAAACTTTAAGAGATGTCATATATACCTTATTTGATTTGGAGGCCGGCTTCAGGTGGAGGCGGTACTCGTGCATGACCCAGTTGCTCTTCTCACCTCTTGGAGCCCTCCCCTTGTAGAAGACTAGGGTTTTCTTCATCCCGACTAGCTCTTGTGCCGATGGCGGTTGCCCGGTGAATATCTCCTTGTCCTTCCCTGTCGTCTTCCAGTAGCCAGCATTAGTTGCACGGTTTGTTCGCACGCCGGTTGGGTACTTGCGGTCTCTTAGGCTGAAGAAGTACCACTCCTTTTCTCCCATTTTCGCCTTCTCTGGATTTCAATCAATTGACGATGATACACATACAATTGTTAGTTTGTAGTACATGTTACATACATGAAGCTGTAATAACAACAACTGGAAAAGCACTCTTTCGTAATTCTAGGTGTATGCATACATGGAGAGAATAGAACATCCAGTTAATTGTTTGCTAGTAATAGTTTCTAACTATACAACTGCTAGTAGGGCTCTGCTCATTTTAAGTGCAGAAGTTGGGTAAGTTGTCTGAGAAGGAGACATACAATTAATCTTGAGTCGATAACGCAAAACAAAACAAAAGAGCATATTCATGCATGTATTATCATACTGTTGATGGTATCATCGTGCTAGAAGCTAACCAAACAAATTGTATCAAACGGCAACGAATTGAAGGGTGCATGTTAAGTAACAATAGAAGATTGAAATCAGTTTGTACAATATATCATGTTAAAAAACAATTCTACAATATACTATTTTTCTAAATTTGTAAAACTTCGTACGAATCCACTCCCCTTAGTTTATTTATTTAACCATGCAAACATCCAATTAATTGTTCGATGGTAATAGTTTCTAACAACCAGATAACCGCGAATCCTGTTCCCCTCATTTTTAAGTGCAGAAGTTTGGGGATTTGTCTTTTTCCATTATCCAAAAAAGAAACCACGAGAGAGGGACACATATAATCTTGAGACGACAGCGCAAAACATGAAGGTTTCAAATATCTAAATATATTGCGTCCAACCAAAATTTCTACAACATATTGTCTAAACTTGTAAGAATCCACCATTCTTGATTAATTTATCTAGCATAAGAAGTCCTCCTGCACATATGCTCTCGAGGAAAAACGCTAGGTGGTTTATGGCTTTTATATAGCTTTTGAAAAACATGATCGACGCGCGTATGAAGTCTAGTCAATTTGTCTTTTAAAAGAGCACAGCTTATGCATGCTGCTTGGTAGGGGAGAAAAACTAAACCATGGAAGCACCCGTCGAAGGAACGGAACTGGTCGTGCATACATGCATAGACGGACGCATGCACTGACGTGCGCTCAGGAGCATTTCTGACTGAGTACGTAGTTACCTGGGAGATCCCATGGCTCGCACTTGTTGAGGTCAACCTCGGTGATGGCCCTGGCCGTGAAGCCGGCGTCGGCGATCTTGCCGCGGAGGTAGTAGGTGATGAGCTCCTCGTCCGTGGGGTGGAACCTGAACCCCGGCGGCAGGCTCTCCTCCTCCCCCTCCTTGGAGCTCTTCTTCTTCGACACCGCCCCTCCCCCTCCTCCTCCTCCTCCCGATCCCTCCATCTAATCACCAGGCGGCCGATCAACCAACACGGCACGAGGTATAAAACCCTAGATAACCCTAGCCAGCGGTGCACCACAAGAGGAGAGGAACCGGCGCGCCGGCCGGGGAAGAGGAACACGCGCACACGCTAGAGGTTGCTCGCTCGCTGGCTGGAGCCGAAGAGTATGCGTACGTCAAAGTGGTGGGTGTGAAATACCGGCCGGGAGTTACCCCGGGAAGAGGGCAAGGATATAAGGGGGAGGAGATAGAAAATGTGCCGGTGACGCTGAGCCCGTACCAACCCGGGGTCGTGAGCGACAAGCTGGCTGGCTAGGTCGACGACGAGCGATCGATCAATGTGTTTTTAGCACGCTGCATCAAGGCCTCCTGTGTTCCCACGCGCTGGCTAATTTCCTCCGTCTCCGGCTGGCAGCTGTAGCTTTTCACCGCGGTATATAGTGGCATGGACATATCATATCATATCATAGATGGTTTCCCGCGAAAAAAGGGATATACTATCATATTTGGATATGGTACGTAATGGTGCTGTAGTGGTGCATATGCTGTATGTATATCTCGATCGCTGCTGCATGCATATGCATGCCAGTGTACTACGTACGTGCTAATAACTATTCTCCTGCCCGGCCCCTACCTCTACATGGCGAGCTACTGTAGCTTACTTGTTGTAGTCATGTGTATCTCACGCATGCGCGCGCACTGCTAGTGCGGCGCCATGCACTGCTTAACTGTGCGCAATTAGCTTCCTAGCTCAGTTCAGGAGAAAAATAATTAGCTTCAGCTGGATCCATGTTCCGCGGGGTCTTCCTGCAAAGTTAAGATACCCCACTATTAATTTCTTCCATTTGATGTCCAAAATAGGTTCAAAACGCTGATAAGGGTGGGAGTGTATGCCTTAATTTGATTGCTTTGACTGTGTAGAAATGATTTGATTTTTAATGACAAAAATGCTTCTCCTCTGCAGATTATTTTTTGGTGTACAAACTTGCGTACGTAGGTGGTCTATGCTAAACAAGCGGAGTACCAACCGTTGTTCAAGGCAGTGTGTAATCGATTGAAGTAGGTTGCTACAGAGGTTCTTTTCGACATAGGTGGCAGCATCACCTGTGGATCAATCCACCACCACTTTTGATATAGGCATAATGTCGGTCTATAGGGCTCTACTATTGTTGATTTGTCGGTTTTGTTTTATTTCTTATTGTCAGACTTTCGGGGTTTGACCGTGTGCATCCTAATTATGCAGAGGCCGCATGTTACTCATAATGATTTATATCCGCTTGATGTACATTTTGAGATAATAAAATCATCCTTTATCGGGAAAAAATATGTAGACAAAATTGACCAAACTCAAGATGA